TTTTGAGTTAAACTTTATATATCGAAATTTAAAAACTTGTACTTATAGTATTAATTTAATTTTATAAAAAACAGATACTCTTAAAACATCAGCAAATTTCTATCCAACTCTTAATAACATCTTCGGCTCTATTTTAAATATTTGTACTCATCTTTTTAGCATGAAATCCCATACTGAGGATTTTATTCATGACATTTGTGAACCTATGATAGAAAAATTTAATAAGTATTGGGAAGATAGTGGTACTTTATATCTGGTTGCATGTATCCTTGACCCTCACTACAAGTTGCAATTCATCTCATTCTATTATCGTGAAAAGGAAAGACTAGAATCGGATGATCTTAATAAAAAGCTATAAAATATAAAAATGAAGTATGTATATTTATTAATTTATTACAGTCAGACCTCCCTAAATGCATATTCTCTAAATGCATAGTCTATGAAAGATCTTTTTAAATGCATAGCCTTATTTGGTCCCAGCTCATATAATGTTTATAAATTTTTACCTTCCTAATACAATACCTCTCTAAATGCAAGATTTTTGGTTACCACTATACATTGGAGTCTGACTATATATAATTATTGTTACAGCTGATGCTAAAATTTAGGCTCAATATAAGTTTATTAAACCTACTAAAATCTATATATTTAGCCATGATAATTATTTATAACTTTATATTACTAATTTAGATTATAAAAATTAGATTTAAAAATATATATCTTCAAACTTACTACTCTTCACCAACTGTTAAATGTTCAACCACTCACAAAGTTATCATTAATACTAATGATAATACATTAATATTTAAGAATCATCTTGATAATTTTTTAAATATTCAATCAAAAAAATTTGGGTTGATGAAGATAATACATTTTATGAAGTTAATCAATATTTAGATGAACCAATTGCTACTAAAGCTACTAATATTCTCGAGTGGTGAAAACTTAATAAGGATCACTTTCCAAATTTGTTAGCAATGGCTTGAGACTTCCTTGCGATACTATCAACTAGTGTTGCATCAGAACAAATGTTTAGTTATGCAGATCGTATCATTGATGATGATTGTACTTCATTAGACCATAACACAGTTGCTGCATTAATGTGTCAGCGAAATTGGTTAGAGATGGTAACAAAGTTTGGATGTGACTTCTAATTTAGAAAAACATTTACTAAGCAAGGTATTTTAAATATAATTTTTGAATTGTTAGATATTTACAATTCATTTACTTTATTTTAATTATACAAAAGTAGCATAATTCGCAAACAAGAAGGTTGCATAGTTATTAAACGTGGCAAAATATGTCTACATGACATTATCGGCAGTGCTGTATTATTATAAAAAAAAAAAAAAAAAAAAAAAGGTAAACCAAAGATATTTTCTAGTTAGGAATAATTTACTGGTTTTTATGCATTATATAATTAAAGGTTGGATTTAAATTAGGAAGTTAGCATTGGTATTTTAATTTTATATTGATAATAAATTGAAATAATTTCTTCTATTTTTGCGAAATTTTAATGCTATAACTGTCATATATCAGTTTTTATAACTCTTGAAATTTCATATACATTGAGCTGATATTGATACGATTCAGATTATATAATAATTCGCTTGATATCTTAAGAATTGTAAAGGCAAATACAGTAAGTTAATTTCATTTAAGATTCGAATTAGATTTTTCAATAAACTACACATGTACTCATGTATCTATAAAGACTAATGCCTTATTAGTCAAATAAGAATGATTAATTACTGTTTTAAGAACACCACATAATTTTTCTTAAAAAACAGCATGCACACAAATTAACCTTAATCACTACAGAATACTTAAAGCACATATAAATGCCACCGAATTAAATAGCATTTAAATTATATCTAAATCTGAGAATAAACATGAGCGTAATCATTGAGAATTCACAGAATAATAAGGCAATAAATTAAAATAAGTGCATTCATATGGGTGGATTTTTTGAATAATATTTCATAAAATTTAACCCAATCATTTATGTGATATTGCATGATCTCCAGTAAAATAAAATTGATATTACTTGATTTCCAGTAAAATTGAAATGTAAGATTGTATTTGATTGGTTAATTGCTTGCCTTAAACATTAATCTGCTTATGAAACTATTTATGAAACTGCATAATAATTATAAATCATCATTGCATTTAATTGGTCAATTGCTTTTCTTAGCTATAAAATGCATATGAAACTGATCATAAAACTGCATAATACATATAAATTATTGGCACATCATTGGTGAATCATTGCTTTATCACTTAATTTAATAATCACTCTTATCAAAAATTTTCGCCTATATGTTAATCATAAAATTAGTATTATATAGTGCAAAATTTAGTAAAAAAAAAATCACAATTTATTTTAAAACATATGCAAAAAATCATTGTACTTAGCTTCAGATAATTATTACATTTTGTGAAATATCACTCCTGGGAAATTATAAAATATTTATTTATACCTGGTTACTATATTAGGATGATACTATTCTAAGAGTAAATAGCTTGTGAACCAAACCTTAGATAGTTTTGATAGATCATATTCGGTTCAGGCCTACAGGTAGTTCACAGGTATTCATGAGCCAATGATCCAGGCTTTGATTTTAAGCTTTGTACCCTAGGATAAGGATAAGGACTCGAAAATAAAGCTCTTACACAAATGGGTAGGGCTAGGGTACTGTTGCTACCCGGTCTTATCTGGCTCATATAAAGGCCTAAGTATACCCTTGCCTTTTCCCCTACTCTTTTATCAAACTCCCAATCCAGATAGCCTGTGTAGAACTATGACCAGTCTATTGGTATATCAGGTCGGCCTGATATTCTTTTCCTTCAGTTCGTTCCAGAGGTCTGGTTGGTAGTACCTCTGAGACTTCCAATCCAGAGGTTCTTGCCTGTCTGGCTACTAGAACCAGATACTAGACCTGAATATCTGTTTTACTGGACTAGTCTTTACAGTAGGGCTGTTGAAGATTCAGCTACCTCTCTACTCGAGTCTTCCCAAATAAACTTCTTGTTACCCAATTTCAATGAATTTACACAGCCACAAAGACTTATCTAGTATTTGCACTGCTCGATTTGTCAGTTTGCATTTCTTCATGTAACTCCAACATTGCATAGATGCTTCATGACCTGTCAGTCATGCTAGTGCAACCATTATTACAGGTATCCTAATCCAATCATTAGTAACAGTTACTATAATATGAATATTATATAAATAATTATCCAAATTTTTGCTATCGATGGAATTTGAACATCCAACCTACCACTTGGAGGGTTGACAACCTAACCACTTCACTAGGTTGCCACACCCTTGTATATTTTCATAATGGAGTTCAGCAGCAGTATGAATCATAAAAGAAAACTTCTCCCTTGTTTAAGAGAGTAATCAAAGAAAAGTGTTCTAACTCTAAAACAATACAGCAGCTATCTTTTGAGACAGTTATGTTCAGTGAAAATTAATATAGCAGCTATCTTCCGAGACAGGTTATATTCAGTGAAAAATTATACAGCAGCTATCTTCTAAGATGAATATGTTCAGTAAAAATTATTCAGCAGCTAGGAATTGAACTAGCTTTTATTTTTGTTTTCTATCAGAAAGACCAAATATTATAGTAAAGAGGCTTTCTTTAACTTCTTACTATAACAATAACACAGTTATAGAGATTCTTTACAGGTTTATAGTAGTGTCCAAGAGAGAAGTATAGTAGCTTTAACTATTTAGCAACTATACCCTTCTTTGGGCAGTTCAGTTAAGACAATACAACAATTTATAACTTTATTATTTGGGAGTGATAGATCTTGCCTGTAGGAATTACCCTAAAGGAGAAATATTAATATAGTTTATAGATAAAGGTAATAATTTTATAAAAGAATAAAGCTATCTGTTAGGTTTCTGTTTCTAAGAAATCCTTTTACACTTTACAGAAGTTACTAAACTAAAAGGTAGAAGGAGAGGGGTGTTTGTGACTTTTTGACTTAAGAAAATTCTTGGAGTTTATATATCTGTTAACAATTGTTAAAGCTAAGCATCAAGGCTTAATAATTATTAGAGCAAAGCATCAGATGTCAGGTGTCAAACAGCAAGCATTAAGTATTAAGTGTCAAGCATTAAGCATTAAGTGTCAAGCATTAAGCATTAAGCGTTAAGTATTAAGCATCAAGCATTAAGCATTGAGCATCAAGTGTTAAGCATCAAGCATTAACTGCTATAATTAATTTGTTCTATTTAATATAACTAAATAATAATAATAACTAATAATAATAACTAATGCTAATAATAATAATAATACTAACAATTAATAGTAGTTATAAAATATCTTGTATATGTAAAAGATATAGGTCGTTACATCTACTAT